GGTCGCCCAACTAGCCTCACCACATCTGCGCGCAGTCGACTACGCCCGGGGGCTTCACCAACATCAGCACGGCTGGCGGCGTAGGGGGCTCCAGTCCCCCCATGCTGCCCTCGAGAAGCACGAGCGCAAGCGTCACCCCCATGGCCCCAGCCGAATGCCGTATTATCATCCCCAGGACGCCATCATGGGCGAAGCAACATGGAGTGTGGGGCACCACGGCGAGGTGTTCGGGGTGGCGGCCCCGGAAGCCTACATGCCCCGCATGATGGACCAAGGGTACGCACCAGAGGATGACATCTGCTCATTCGTTGGAGAAGACTGGGGAGAAGGGGCGCTAGGAGTTGAAGCCTTCCAAGAGCCAGCGGAGAACAGTGATCGCGTCGGCGACGACAACTACAGGGTACCGCTAACCTCTCAGGAACAGGCTTACGCTAACCATGGGCTACCGATGAATCAGGTTGCAGCACTGATCGATGACCCCGGCACGGCGGCACCCGTCTCAACAAGGGAGACACGTTGGGGGCCACCGAGAGGGAGCCAGGAGCAAGGCCCCTCCCCAAGGCACGCGAAACCAGGGGACACCCGGAGGTAGGCCCTCTGCCGGGGTGGGTCCAACGACCCTTCCTCCGACAGAGGACCCGTGGTCATCGAGGGAACCGTTGGCGTCCTCTTTCCCTCCTTTGTGTCGTCCTGGTCTCCGGCCGGCTCAAAGAAGGTCAAGAGTGGCGCAAGGCAGGGCCCTTGTCTGGCGATATGAAGCAAGGCCAGTACCTGTGAAGAAGGCCCGGATCCTGTGAAGCTCGCCGCCCGTGACACTCTCATGTAATAATGAGTTGGGGCTGTACACGCCCCGGAGTCTCAGGAGCGCCGGCCTCAGGCCCTGAGGCTCCCTCCTGTGCCTAGTGGACAACACTTAGCTCCGCGCTGGTGAGAAGACTTGAAGACCCGAAGACTAGACTAGGTGTCGGACGCGGCCTTTTGCTTTGGATCTCTCTTTCTGTGGCTTTGCTTTCTGATTCTGGACTTAAGTTGAAGCTAAATTTTTATCGTTGCGCGCGGGGGTGCCTTTTCTCGTTCGAGCCGTTTCTCGCCTTCTGGATCTTGTTTGGTTTGGGACTCACGTCCGTCGCCTCTCCCTCGCAAAGCTCCTCGCGAGCCGGACCGCGCAGAGCACGCGCTAGCACTACGCCTGGTGCTCACCCTTTCCGGGACCCCCCTTCAAACAGGGCGATAGGCTCCGCAGGATTCTCAGGAACTCGTCGCCTCATGACCTAGCCCTAAGCAGGCGCTGACTAAGGTAATCCACGTCTGGAAACTCATCCCCAGCTTCACGAGCTCACGAGGACACATACCAACATCGTATAGGAAAGTAAAAACCGCGATTTGCTTACAGGAGCCCCCCCTCTCAAAATGCTCTCACAAGTTTTCCAAGGGCCACGCCCGATTTTTGCGTGCAGAATAAAACAACAGGAGAATATGGGATCGCCCAGAGATATCGCTCGCTACGTCAATCAGGGACGAGTCGCTCGCATCGTCATCACCTTCGTCGGAATCGTCGCCGCCGTCGGTGACGCCCCCATCGCCGTTGTTGACCACGTCAACTTCGTCTGTGACAACCACCACCCCATCGTTCTCCGAGGTGAAGGCCCTGACCAACGCGTCGACATGATCCTCTACCCAACGCACCAAGTCACCCCGGACGGCGATGGGCACAGGAGAAATGGCGGCATCAAAGTCGAAGTTGGGGTCGGCGTTCAGGAGGTGGCTGAAGACACGGGAGAAGGCACGCTGAAGCAGGCCACGACCCCTCTCCTCCACAAGCTGCCGAGCTCTGGCAGATTGAGCCTCCAGGCGCGTCACCACCTCGGTGAAGAAGGTCAGGTGGCTGGCGTAGTCACTCGAGTGAGGGGTCGGGGCGTTCTCGTCGCAGATATAGCCCAGGGCGGTGTTGGCCTTGTTCCGAAGGTCTTGGAGCATAGGGCCATGCACGCACTCCAGCATTCGGCGTTGGAGCACTTCTTCTCTGTTTTGCCGAGCGACAGCCTCGGCATCGTCAATTCGCCTCTGGAGGGAAAGCAGCTCGGCGCGGGCAGAGGCCAGGTCCGCCTGCGCCATAACTAGGGCGGCGGTTGTGGCCTCAGCACGCCTCTCGGCCTCGACCAACCTGGGCCTGAGAGCGGCGACCCTGCCCGCGCCCTCCTGTCCGGTGAGCTCCAGCCTCAAGCTGTGCCTACCCTCTAGATCGGCGCAAACCACGGCTACCTCGTGATTGATCTCTTCTTCGACTCCGGCCTCGCGGGCCCCGACGACATCTTCAGCTTGAGCAACTTGACGCTCCCTCGTCTCCAGCCGCTCGAGCTCGAGGCTGCGCTCCAAGGCCTCCAGGGCCAGCGCCTCCTCACGCTGCCGGATCTCCTCTTCTTCCGCAGGCGTC